GGGGTCAAAGTCTCACCCCTAAGACTCAGGGACACAGTGCAAGCCAGTGACAGAGGCTGAACCAGGACAAGAGACAATTACTCTTCCTGCAACCTGCTTCTTACCACCAGGCTAAACAAACACCAAATAGCAAGTCTCAACATTTAACTGCTGGCAGATGGTCAAGAGCATGTAAAAAACATTTGGTAGATTCAGATGTGAAAGGGATACAAAGCTGATGGTACAGCACTAGAGGAATTTTAAGCATGTAGAAACAACAAATGTCAAATCCAGCTCTACTCCTGACCAAATGAATTCAACCACCAGAGTAAAGGCATAGCAAAAAACAATCCCTGTTCATTTCCAGGCATAAATACTGTTTACCTCAATCTCTGCTGTCACAGATGGCTTGCAATAAAAATTACAAGGCACATAAAAAAGAAGAAAAAAATCTGTCAAGAGACAAATCAATCAAAAGAACCAAAGTCAGATATGATATAGGTGTTGGAACTCTCAGGTAGAGTACTTAAAATAGATGGCAACATACATCCTCAGATGGACAATTTCAGTAGAAAAAGGAAACTAAGAGAAAGAATGAAATGGAAATGCTAGAAATGAAAACCATGGTTATGGAGATGAAGAATGCCTTTAACCAGATCATTGATAGACTTGACACAGCACACGAAAGAATGAATGAACTACAGATATTACAGATAGATTAATAAAAATTACTCAAATGGAAACCCAAAGAGAAAAAATAAAACATATTAGCATATCTAAGAGACATGGGACAGTATCAAGCAGTTTAAAATAACTGTAATTGAAATCCCAGAAAGAGAACAGGGAGAGAATGAGACATTGGGAATATTTGAAAAGAGATGAAGGCAATGAATTTCTAAAAGCTAATAGACTCTGAATTACCACAGATCCAAGAATCTCAGAGAACACCAAGCAGAATAAATAATAATAATGAAATAATAGTAATAGCTGATAAACACTTAAGTGTATCATATTCAAAATTCTACAAGGTAAAAGATAAAGTGAGAATCTTGAAGGCAACCAGAGAGAAAAAAAGACACATATACAGACATAGGAATTACAGCAGACTTCTTGTCAGAACCTACTTAAGCCAGAAGACTATGGATTAACATCTTTAAAGTTCTGAGAGAAAAAAGACAATTTTCAATCCTGAATTCCAAACCCAGTAAAATTATTCAAATATGGAAGAGAAATAGATATTTTCAAACCAACAAAACTCAAACAATTTATTCATAGTGGAACTGAATTAAAATAAATGTTAAAGGAAGTGTTTTAGGCAAAGGAATATAATACCATACAGAAATTTCAATCTATACAAAGAAAAGAAGTACAGTAAAATGAAGGTAATATAACATTTATTTTTTCTTATTTTTAAGTGCTCTACAAGACAACTGATCTTCAAAAAGAGGGGTAGGCAAAACTGTTCTCTAAAGGACAAAATAGTATATATTTTAAGCTGTGTGGGCCACATGTTACAGATGCTGACCTTTGCACTGAGTACAAAAGCAGCCATAGACAATCCATAAATGAATGAACATGTTTGCATTCCAATAAAACTGTTATGAGTGCTGAAATTTGAATTTTATATATTTTTTTATGTGTCACACAATATTCGTCTTTTGATTTTTTTCCCCAAATATTAAAAAGATGTAAAAACCATTCTTAGCTTGTGGGCTATACAAAAACAGGCAATGGGCTAGACTAGCACCATGGGCCATAGTTTGTCAATCCCTAGTCTGAAGCAAAAATATTAGCAATTTTTTTTCTTTTATGTTTATAGAATAAATAAAAGTAAAATATTTAACAATAATAGCACAAACTATGAGAAAGAGGAATTAGGATTATACTGTTGGGAAATCCTTACACAACATGTCCAGCAGCATGATAGTATTTGAAGGTAGATTTTGATTAATTAAAGATATATATTCAAAACTCTAAGGCAATAATATGAAATATTTTTAAAAGGGATATAAATAATAAGACAATTTTGTGATATTAGAGAAAGGGCAGGCATATAGACTTATGAATAAATGAAAAGCAATAAGAAAAGTATATGTATTGAGATATATGAGAAAGCCATTTGGTTTAAGACTAATTTGGCCTGATCTTGCTTTTCCAAAAAGGCCTGACGTGGCCTGTCAATCATGCTTTGTACATCTGCTTTAAACTTAATTTTTAAAGCAAAGAATGGTGTCTTTAAAGATGGGGGTGTATGCGTCCTCCCATATCAGCTTCAAGATAAGCATTCCTTTGCAGAAACTAAGGGTCAAACTGACCTACTGTGTACATCTTGTCACCTCTGTGCTCATCTTGTGGCCATTGATTTGCTGTGCTACCAAAACACCTTGTGACTGTAGCAAAAAGAGATATTCCTGTCATATCCGATGTATGATCTTTGTTCCAAGATGGTATACAACCACACTGTACACCTCACTTCATCAGAGTGCTTCTTCCCTTGGTGAAAGAATTCTCCCAGGCTATATGGTCCTCAGATAGGCTCATATAATAAATTCACCTCAATTTTTATTTATACATTAATTATTGATTATTTGCATCAAAAAGAGCCAATGGAAGACAACAGAGAGTCCAAGAATAGGGCACATTTATGCAATTTATTGATTTTCTGCAAAAGTACAAACAATTCAATAAAGAAAAGATAATTTTTTAACAAACAGTATTGGAACAATTGGATATTCATATTAATCAAATAATGAACTTGATCCATACCTCACTCTCTATCCAAAAAATATCTCAGAATGGATCATTGACTTAAATCTAAAACCTAAAACTATAAAACTTCTAGAAGAAAACACAAGAGAAAATCTCTATGATGTTGGTTTAGGCAAAGATTTCTTAGATATGACACATAAAGTACAATCTACACAGGATAAATTTTTTGATAATTTAAACTTCATCAAAATGAAAATTTCTCTTCAAAAGATTCCCTGAAAGCATGAAAAGGCAAGCTATAGATTGGGACTTAACACTTGCTAGTCACATAGCTGCTAAAGATCTAGTACTCAGCATTTACAAAGAACTCTCAAAACTCAATAATATGAGAACAAACAACTGAATTTCAAAAATAGGCAGAAAGAGATACATGGGCGGCAAATAAGCACATAAAAAGACAGAACATAATTCATCTCTGAGGAAACGCAAATTAAGACTACAATGAGATACCACTACATACTAATTAGAATGGCTAAAATTTAAAAAGATTGACCATACCACGTACTGATGAGGAAGAATAGAATGTAGAACTATGATAAAATGCTGGCAGAAATGTCAAATGGTAACCACTTTGCAAAAGAGTTCGGCAGTTTTGTTTGTTTTTGGTTTTGCTTTTAACACACATCTACAATGCTAAACTCTGAGGAGGATGCACAGCAACTGAAACTCTCACACCTTGCTGGCGGGAATGAAAAATGTTACAATCACTTTAGAAAACAATTTAGCAATTTCTTATACATTTAAACATACACATACTATATGAACCATCAATCTCACAAGTTTTCAACCCATTGAAGACGGAACGTGTGACCACACAAAAATCTGCATGCAAATATTTATAGCAGTTTTAATGCAATTCTCCAAAACTGCAAACAGCCCAATTGTTCCTCATCTGGGGAAGGGATAAACAAACTTTGGTGGATCCACACAATTAAATCTTACACAGCATTAGAAAGGAATAAACTGATACACTTGACTACCTAGGTGAATCTTAAATGCACTACACTAAGTCAAAGACGCCAGATTCAAAATTCTATATACATTTTTTATTTCACTTTATGAAACTCTGGAAAAGGCAAAGTGTAAGTTAAGAAACTATATCTGTGGCTGCCAGGAGCTTGGAACTGGAGGAAGAGTGGACAAGAAGCATGAAGGAAAGTCTTGTTACAATGGAGTGGTTCTACATCATTAGGAAAGTAGTTTTGCCGCTCTGCTCCTGATTTTTCTCATTAGGAGAATAAAAAGAACACCATCAACCCTCCAGACTTAGCATGAAGATAAAGTGACACAAGACAAATGCAAAGCACCAGGTGTCAAACATGTGATTATTAAATATACGGTAAATTTCAGTTATAGATATCTACTTTCTGCCATTGTACGCTAAAGTGAATTAATTGTTCTTCAGTGTTTGCCTAATGCAGGTCTTTGCCTGGGGCAACTTCCTGACGGAATCCACATATGAGAAATGTGAGAACCAGGAAATGTGGTTGGAGAGCTACTGAGCTCTTGGTACTTGAGTGAGTGGAACCTGTTATTTCACATCAGACAGGGCTAGAATTGCTTCCAAATTGACTAATGTCATCATGCAAATCACCAGAAGCTGCCTCATTTGGCAGACAAATTACCTAATTATGCCCCCTCTAAGAGACCAATTCTGAAAAGATATTCATCCTTCTGGACTAAAGCAACCTCTCCCTAGGACACAGAATTTGGCAATTGAAGCCCAGACTGGATTTCAGCCACTGTCTGCCACGTCACTGGGTTCCTTTTGAACAGAACATAGCTTGTTTCAACCTGTCCATTTTTGACCAAAGTCTTACTCTGTAAAGATCACACCCAAAGTATAAATCCAAACATTCCTTAGGGCCTGTGTGTCCCACCTTGATGTGCAGGTCACAGACTATTTGCTTTTAAACAATTCACGAATGAATTAGACTCCTGGGGAAACACTCCTTTAGAGAAAAACATGATGTTTATAATTATTTCCAAATTATAAAAGTTACAGATGTAAAATATGGCATTGAGATGGCACAGAAAAACATAAAAAAGAAAATGAGAAACACCTGTAATACCTGTTTTCTAAGAATTAATACCTGGTATATAAAATGCTGTATTTCAACTATATATATATATATTTAATACTTAAATCTTATCTCCATTCACGTCACTATTAATGGCATCCAGATTTTTAGAAGAATTCTTTTGAGCTTTTCATATATGTATCAGGATTGAGTGGTTGTTTCTTGCTTTACCTGGCCTTGATGACCTTGAAGAAGAAAAGGATAAAGAAAACAGCTGAGATTTGGCTGTTGATACATTTCTCCCTTTGCTCACACTGTGTCTCCTTGGGATGGGCTGCATCCTTTTCTCTCTTCCTTTCTAAAACGCTCCTCTCTCACTCTCACCTATTTCCTTTCATGATGTCCTGTTCATTGAGTCAGCACCCCTTCCACTTGATTGGGACCCTGAAATAAGATATTCATTCACACCCAGCTTGAGTACTTGTAGACAGGCAGGAGGTATGGAGAACAACAAGAGAGAGGAAGGAGCAGGTACTCATGCCAAGAATTGAGGGGAAAGTTCTCACTGAGAAGAAAGGTTGGAGGAGGATGCAAAAGGTATTTCTGGTGCAATGCTGTGAGGGAAGGGTTGGAATGTTTGACTGATGGTCCTGAGAGCTGGAGAAATTCAAGAGCGTGTGCATTTCTGAGTGCCTGGATGTGTCAGCCACTGTATTTGATCTGTTTGCATTCAAGTAGTAGCCTTCGTTAGTATTCCAAGAATCCCACATGGATGTGTGTATGTGTGTGTGTGTGTGTGTGTGAGTGTGACAAGGAGTATGAACTTTGTATTGTAGAACCAATAACCACTGTTTGTTGTCGACCAACAGCAACCAACACTAACAGCAAGTATTTCACTAACAGCAGCTGAATTTGTGCTCCAAGATGCTCGGGGGCATCCTTGATCATTTAATGTGGTATGAACTCTGCTAACCGTCTTCTGAGATAGAAGATATGTCCCTCATTTAATAGATGATGAACCTAAGGTTCCTAGTGTTTAAGTTCATTAGTCAACTAGCAAATCACAGGGCCACCATTTGAAACAAATCTGCCTAATGAGGCCCAAATTTACTACATGATCTCCTTGCTTTGATAAATTCAACCAGTTCTATAATATTTAGCCTAGCTATCATATGTTTTGAATGCTTCTCTGAAGTTTCTCTCTTCAATACGATTAAAAATATCCTAATTTATAGAAAGAATGATGGAAAGAAAGTTTACACTCACTAAAGGGCAATGGTTGTTTCTTTTTCCCCTTATGGATTCTCTGTATAATAGGGTCAGTCTAGTTTTTTCATCCTGCTTTAGAGGAATGATGTTCCCCTGAAGTTCTCACCTTGATGAAACTGTGAATTACAGATCTCAGCTGGCTCCTAGTCTGACCTGATGCCAATTCAAAGCAGATGAGTTGAAGTTTATCTCTTTCCTCGCAGTTGATTTTGGTCAGTCGTCCATACACCATGACTTCCATCTTCCCTGTATCATCTTGTATTTCATAATATATGAAATCATTCCACACTATTTTCTGCAAAATAAAATTAGCATCTATCTTTTAAGAAGTGGATAAGGTTTCCACATCTGTCAGAAATACAGGGTGTTGGTGGAATCTTTTGTCTCTGACAGGCTAATATGAGCTGTAGGTCCAGAATTACAGGTACCAAATAGCTTAACATATCTTGTTCAGAAAATTCCTGCTTTTGAATCCTGTTTCTACTTTTCCTTTTTTTAGGTCTTTATTTCCCAGGTTCTTCTAAAAAGATGGATTACTTCCTAATTTTTCCTGCTTCCATCTCAGAACAGCTGACAGTTCTTAAGGAACTTGAATACAGTCAGACCTGATAATCTTCACAGGTTTCTTTGGCACCTACCTGAGAACAGAGAAGGAAGGCCACTCACACTTCATAATGAGTCTGAGAAAGATTGTTGCAAGTCTTCATTAAGTAGAAAGCTATATCAATATGTAATTCTTTTTTCTATCTTCTCTATTTATTCATTCTTTTCCAATCTGCCCAAATCTTGAACCTAGAATATCTAATCCCATTATTCTAGTTTCTATCTCACTTACTTTATTCATTAATTCTACAAATGCAAATGTGTGCCCAGTCACTTAAACAGAGTGTGCAGAAAACAGCAGTGGTAAAAGTAAAGGACCACCCTAGGAGACATATATAATGGAGTATGAAACAATGCTTCATATAAAAAATTGCTTCAACTAAGCTTAGTTTTTCTATGTTGTCTTAGACTGAAATATCTACTGTAATTATAAGAATTCACCAAAATTCTGAATTTATTGTCTGTATTTATGAAATAAAGTATTAAATTATGTGGTTATTCTTTTCAACATCCATCTTTCTTATTAGTTAATGCCAAAGTCAATTGCTCAACAAATTTTTGATGAATGAATGCAAAGAGGTGAGAAAAATTTAGCTATGTGTTGGAAACAGCTGGATTCTATGGAAGAGTAGTCTTGATTTCTTAGTCTGGCTGTCACAACTGGAATCCAAGCTTGAGAGGGCAATTCTTTATATACAATTAATTTAAGCTTTCACTGAAACCGATGAGGCAGAACTCAAAAAAACCAAATCAAAAGAATATGTATATTGATATAAACTCTGCACTGTCCTGGACCAGGGTGGCTGTCAATAGGTCATCACAGCTGATAAAATGCCAAGGTTTCTGGGGAATCTCTTTCTAAAGAACTTGCATGCTGTTACCTTGGGAGGAGGAATGTTCAGAGATTATCACTCCCATATCCTGAAAGGGATAGACTCTACTTAACTATCCCTGGTTAGGGAGACCTTGAGTCTCTGTGTTTAGGAAATTAACCAAACTCCAAATGGCAAGTTAAGATTTTTAAATTCTGGGGCTACAGAAGAAATATTACAAAACAAGGGTGTGGACTTACCTTATGCACCTCATACACCCCATTCACAAATGTTCCTGGAGCTTGTGAGCACAGATGATTGATTTTAGGAGTTGCATTTGCATTTGCAATCAGTCTTTTTGAGACCTCCATCTTTCGGTCAGCATTAACATCAGACACAGATGAGGCACTGTACACCTCCAGGAACCCATTGCGGCCAATATAATCTGATATGGCAATGATTTTCTTTGGGATGAACTTCTGCTTCAGACTGACATCAAAAACCTTCACTCGGAAGAACTGGCTCTCAGTAGCCACTGTGGCATGGAACATCTTTTTCTCCCCTTCAAGAAAGGCATATGCAAATGGTTCTGTTGCCTTCAGTACCATCACTTCTTTGGGGTCCGTCTGTAGACCCTCTTCTTTGGAAGCTTCTTTAGGTACAGCCTTCAATCTTGGTTTCTTCTTAGAAGTATATACCCAAACCAGGCACAATTTAGAAAGGAAATACAGAGTTACTCTCTAGCAAAGGACCTTCTCAGGCTGGTTTTTGAGCCTCAACGAACACCATAATTGGGTGAACTTGGAAAAAAACTAAACAACTATGGCTGATATGGTATAATTTAGCTAATCGAAGAAGTAGAGAAGATTTGAAAACAACATTATTTCTTTTCTTCATTTTTCATAAGTTTGGAAGGAAGAATAGTTTTATTTCAAAAGAGTTAACGAAAGAAAAATAGTATTTCTCCTAGGAAGAGCTATGGAGAGTGTAGGAGCAGTGGCATAGCAATGCTGTTGTGTAGTGATTCCTAATAGAGATGAAGAAGAAAAAGTAATCTTAATTTATCCCATAAATTCATTCTAGTGAGCAAAGTAAGATATAAAAGGGGAAAGAAAGTAAGTTATTCTTAATATCACTGAGAGGGGAGAATGGTTCCAGTGAGAAACAATTGATTTCATCCAGAACTAATCCCGGTAGATGTGGCAATTTAAAGACCAAAATCATAAAGCCCCTTTCCAAAAAGCAAGTGCTGTGTTGAAAATAGGTTAGCAATGCAATCACTAAATAAAGCCCATGTCCTTCCTTTATCTGGAAATGTCCTTGATAGAGGCTCGTGAAGAGTAGCAGAATCAGCCACCCCAAAATATGTCTCTCTGGCTTAAGATTATTTTGAAAAACTTCAGATACAGGAGAGGCTCTATAAACATAATAGAAGTTCTAACCTGGAAAATTATACCATCCACAACCTGTGGGTCATGAGGCTTAACTTTAATTGACTTCTCATCAATGTGGCCAATTCACCTTAGGTTCAGGAAGCTCATTCCCAGCACAGGGTAGTCAATAACAAGAAATCTATTCATAGTAACAACAGCAGCACTCTGACTTGAAGTGTACAGGACTTAAAGAAGAAATTATGCAATTACTTTTAGAGAAAGGAAAGAAGACCTGATGGACACATGTTCTTATTAAGTTCATTGTGCGTGTAGGGAATATTGGAAATAACCTAAAGTTAAATAATACAACATTAATTTTTTAATTTATTAAGTAACCATGCAATTAATCTTGTACATTAAACTAATAATTTAAATCTGTATTGGTTGATTGAAATAACAGTTTGAAACACAGCAAGTGAAGAAGAAAAAATTGGGTTACACAAAAATCTGTGTAATGTGATCCAACCTGGGACAAAATGACACCTGTTTATACGTAACAAAAGGTAAACTCAGAAAGACTATTTACCAAACTGTAGCATTTGATAGAAGAGAGATATCAGAGTTAAAATTTAATTATTTTTGTCTATGTGTCTACATTTCCTAAATTTTCTAAGATGATATTATTTATGAAACGAAAAATGAAAGAGAGGGGACGACCCCATGGCCTATTGGTTAAGTTCGGCACACTCTGCTTCAGGAGTCAGAGTTCAGTTCCTGGGTGCCGACCTACACCACTCATCAGTGGCCATGCTGTGTTGGAGACCCACATACAAAATGGAGGAAGATTGGTACAGATGTTAGCTCAGGCCAAATATCAGAAAAAAAAAGAAAAAGAAAGAAAAAGAGAAAGAATTGGCGATAGTGCTTTGTTTGGCTCTGTATTTCTCCACCCTATTCTGCCCTAAGCTGTGTCTTTCACTAGGTTTTAAGGGAAATATGAAAATAAAGTTAAATGAACAAATGACTAATTATACCCAATAGAGAATAGGGATGATTAGGTATTCATTGGCTCATAGATTATCCTTATGCAAAGGAGAATGCATAATGAGTTAGAGTTCACATTTTGGGTACAATCTCATCTCAAAATATACAATTGATAAAAAATATGTGATTTAATTAAAGAAAGAATTGTATATAGTAGGGGATTAGTGAGAATATCCTTCATGGTTGTAGTGATCACTGTCATTATGTTTTAGGGAGGGGAGATATTGGAAATAGGAAGTTGGTACCTTGATTAAGGAACTGCTGGATGGGGTTGGTGGTGGCACCTGAGGAATCTGGACACAGCCCTCAGTTGGGCACGTGTTGGTTGTTGAAGGTTCTGGAAGGTGACTCTGCTCCTGGAGTAGTTTCATTCTCTTGGAGTCATCAGTTTTAGTGGTGGTGTCTTTCCTTTTCTGAATCAAAAATCGTATATGTGTATTTTTCTTGGTTAGTGATTTTTAATATCAAATGAACTACTACACTCTCCTCCTCTCTGTCTCTCTCTCTCTGTGTCTCTGTCTCTGTCTCTCTCATACACACACACACACACACACACACACACACGAGAGCATCTTACTGTGACAATTTTCTCTGGAGTAATATCACAGCTTCAGATACCCTCAACACCTCCCCAGCTTGGACTCCAACCAAGATTAGAAGCTTCACTCTGCAAATATTAAAAACTCAGATGATTGAAATTTGGTCTGTTATGGAATTCTGGCGCTACCTCTGCTGCAAACAGCCCTGTGTCAACTTGATTAAGATAACACTTGGAGTTATGTATTGGTAGAAAATCCTATCAGTCTATAATGGAAGCAAGTCTCCAAACAATATCGTCTGCACTTAGGGACGTTTTATTAACTAAGTCTTTTACTACCTTGTGTATTTACCAAATAAGCAAATTGGTCAGGAAATCAGGTCTCCACCTATTTTTGAATGCTTTTTTTTTGTCACCATACTGGAGAAATTCCCTCACATTCATAATTCTAGAGGCAGGATTCTGTTCTCTATGTAGTCTGCATCAGGCAAAAAAATCCTTCAGAATTCTCAACAATAAACAGACCCATTCATGGTTTCACCAAGGGACTTCCTAGTACCTGGACTTTTATAATTGTTTAAGTAAAGGCAGGAAGTGTCTGTAAAGTCATTTATCTTGACTACCTTTGATTTCTCTAATGAAAACCCATTTCTAACATTCTACGTCCAACATAAATTTGCCACAGTTCTTGCCGCTTCTAGCATTCATGTATCTAATTCATTAAGTGTCACTTGTTGAGAAAGCTGCAGATGAGGGAGCTGCTTGAAATGCCTTCCTCTGGCATGCAGCTTCCTGATCAGGACACCTTCTGACCACCCCAGAACCTCATTCTTCATTAGAAGGTTTACAGAACCTGGACTATGGAAATGAATCTGAGACATAACACTAATTATAAAATTTTAAAAATAAATTACAGATATCGTGACATCTATACTCTAAATCTGAAATCAATATATGCCATTGAATGCTCGAGTTGTAGAGTTCAATAAAGCTGGATTTGAAAGGCTGATCTAACATTCACTATCTGTGTGATCTTGGAGAAGATTTTTTTTAAAGAGTAAGTGCAGAGGCCGAGACTTGAACCCTGTCCTCAGGCCCTTGACCAATGATGCTGCAGCAAAGAGTCTACAAAGCAGTCATTGGACAAGATTTTTAACCTGTATGAACTTCATATTTCTCATACAAGAAATGGAACCAATGATAGCATCCTCCTGTGGCATTACAAAGAATGGATGAGATAATGTACACAAAGATCACAGGTTTTAGAGACCAGCACCACTAAACACTCAATTCATAGAAAATTCATGTTGTTATCATTATTCCATGGTCAACCCTGGGGTTCGTCTTTCTGCTGTGATCTATGGATGTGTAGGAGAAAAAATTTGCTATGCCAAAATGTGTCTCCTTGGCTTGATTATTTCTAAGAACAAAAGATTCAGGAGAAAACTTTGACCTTCCCTCTAACTGCCTAAAAGAATTTAAGATAGATGGCCTGTTTGAGAAGGAGCTAATACCATAGACAACTATAGCATAATATGAATTAGGTGTGGGAGACAGGGAGGAACCTAGAAAGGCCCTTTAGATTAAAGTCCTCTCCCTGTCTCTTTCTCTTTGCGGGTATGGCAAATATTTGTGCACCAAACATTTGCTTTTCATTTCTGTGTCAATTGCCTTCCTCTCCTTGATGTCCCAAACTGCTATCCCCCTACATCCTCTTTTGTCGTTAGCTGAAGATGGTATTTAAGGTGGTGGCTTTGGCCATTTTGGTGAGTTACTCAGTTTTCCTGGGTTTCTCCCATGTGTACATGTTATTAAACTTGCTAGATTTTATCCTGTTATTCTGTCTCATGTCAATTTAATTCTTTGATCAACCAGAAGGACATAGAGGGTAGAGGAATATTTCTTTCTCCTCTACAGATGTTTTATGCATTATTTTGACCCTCTTAATGGAAACCCTGGATAGAGATGATATGGGAAGTACCTTATTAAAGAAGCATCTCTATCCACTTCTGCCACATATAGTAGTTTAATCTAATTGAAAAGAACACCTTGAGCATCTTTCAAAATCAGTTAAACCAAAAGCTTCCATCATAAGATTAGGATTTAGATGCCTAAAATATTCTATTTGATTGGATAATATTTAAAAAGAGTAATTGATCTTTTCCCTCTGATTATTCCCTTCACCACTTCAGTCTGATTGAATCATGCCATTCTGTGCTCTTTGCTTTGTGGGAGATATAGCAGCAGGAATCAAAGATAATATTGGTTTGCTTCTGGCTTTCAATCCCAAAGGCAAACAGAGTCCATATTATAGAGAAAATAGTTGAGAGACTCCATGATGAATAAGAACAAAGATTTCCTGTTCATTTAATGGATCATAGAATGGTCAGACACCCTTTTGTCAGGCTTCCTATGCAAGCAGCTGGACCCCTAAGAAGAAATGACTCTATGATCTGTTTAGGCTATGAGATTGAGGATGCAGATGAGCCTCCCTGAGAATCCTGTGCTTGAAGGAGATTTCAAAGAAGCATAATGATTATTACAGGAATAGGAATGACTGTGTCACATATTTAGGCAGAGGGGGCCTTGGAAAGTGTCACTTCCAAGCCTGTATGCATAGAAAAAATAGAGTTGTTTTGAGATATCCACATGTGCTATTGTCACAGCAGAGATACAGTGGGCCTGCGGTTTCAGTGACTAGACAATGGCCAAGTGACTTGCCTTGGCCAAGAGGCAAACAGGCAGATTGCTAACTGCATTCCACAAATAAGAACTGGAGAGATTATAGAGGGAATTATGAATTATTGAAGCTACAATAATAACAACAATAATGAAGCAAAACTTAATAAATCTTGCCTGTAGGAAATATGTCTTCAAGTGCTATGTGTGCGGTGGTAGAGTCTTCAGCCTGGATCAGAGGCCAGCTTGGGGCTTGAGTGACAAACTATATTAGAGAACAGTGATTTAAATGCTGCTTTTGCATATTCCTCAAGTTTCCTGCCTATTCATTGTGGAAATAGGGATTCTACCCCATAGGTCATATCAGGGCAGAACAAAAGGCAGACTAGGGTAAGAGTTGGTGCACTTGTGTGTGCACTCACTTTTCCACCTCAGTCTTGTCTTTCCTAGGGACAGAGTGCCTATAATCTGAGGTTATTGTCTAGTAAGGAAGAAAAACATACATTTATTACAGTTGTGATAATGTTTAACAGGAAAAATAAAGGGACCAGTGAAAGCAAACAATGGGAATATCTGATATATTCTGGGAGGCAGATATTAATGAAGACTTGCCTGAGGAAAGAATTCACATTTGCACCTAAAGGTTGTAGACACTTGAACCAGTGGTGAATCAGGACAAATGATTCCAAGCTAAAAAAGGAGCATGTGTCAAAACATCTGACTTGGGAAGGAGCATGTAATGTTGAAAATAAACGATGTAGTATGGTCAGTGAGCAAAGGGGAAGAGGGCAAAAGGAAACTGGAATGTAGGGGATAAACACACTCACATTCATCCCTGCTTGTTTGGTCACTTTCCCCCACTCTCTCTACTCTTCCCAAGAGAGTAACCCTCTGAAGATTAGAGATTATTTCATAAACACATGCCTCCTAAATAGCAGCGGAGTTAGAATCTAGTAGGATCTCAAAATATACATTGATGAAGGAATGAGAGATTATGTTAAAAATTAAATTGTACACCATGGGAGATTAGATGGGAAGCTCTTCCAAGATTATACATACTTACATTGTATGTAAGTACAAGGAATGGGAACAGGTACCTTGGTTGAGGAACTGCTGGATGGGGCTGGCGGAGGCATCTGTGGAGTCTGGGGACCACTCTCACTCGAACATGAGATTGTTGCTGACGTATCTGGAAGCTGACTCTGTTCTGGGAACAGCATCTTCTTTTTTGAGTTGTTAGTTTTGGTGGTTAGGTTATTCCTTTTCTGGAGAAAAATAGATCTTTTTCCTTATTTCTGGATAATTATCTTCAAAATCACACAGAACATAACATCTCATTCTTTTCTTTCTTTCTTTTTTGAATAGGATCTCAATTTTTCAATTTTCTCTGGAGTGATAGCACAAAATCAGATACCTGGACTACCTACCCTTTTCTACCTCAAGCAGGATTACAGATTTCACTCTGCAAAAAAGCTCTTATTAAAAGCTCAGAAGAAATTTCATTGGTTTAGGGTGAAATGCAGAGTTCACATCGGCTGTAAAATTGTGTCATGCATAACTTTGCAGGTTATCTTTTGGTAGATAACCTTCTCAGGTTATAAAGGAAGCAAATCTCAGCACAACCTTGGCTGCACTTATGGGTTATTGTTAACTATGACTTTCTATCCAAGCAAATATACAAATGGTTTCCTGATATCTGCTCTTAAGACTCCTAGAAACCCATTTCTCTAATCTTCTCAGAGAGATTACTGGTAGAAATATGGGTCCATGGAATGTACACCAAGAAAATAAAAACAAAAATTGAGAAACCTTTATAAAGGAAGTCTGTCTTCAAGTGGTGTATGTGGGGTGGTGGTGGGGATGTAGCCTGAGTGAGGGGCACCTTGGATCTTGGGTGAGAAACTATATTAGAGAACAGTGATTTAAATTCCGCTCTTGCCTGGCTACCCTTTATGCTGTCTTGGGGCAATCTTTCCTTACCCACGCACCTCAGATACAGGCTTCATTGTCCTGTGTTGCATGTAACCACAGGGTAAAACAAAAGACAAGTTGGGATAGGAGTTGATACATGCAGATATGTACTCACTTTCCCACCCCAGTCTTTCCTTCCCCTGGGAAAGGGTACCTATAATCTGAGCTTATTGCCTAGTACAGAAGAAAGATGTAAATTTACTACAGTTGTGATAAGTGCTATGAAAGAATAGTAAAGGATCTTGTGAAGGCCAAAAATGAGAATAGCTGATCTTTTTTGGGAGTGGGAGTATCAGTGAGGACTGCCTGAGGAAGAGATTCAGGCTGACATCTGAAGGTTGAATATATTTAGGCCAGTGAAGAGACAGGAATAATGAATTCCAAATGAAAGAAATAGCATATGCCAAAACACGTGACATGAGAAGGAGCATAGAATGCTGAAAATTAATCCAGAAGTATGGTTAAGGAGAAAAGGTGAAAGGAAATTAGAATGTAGGAGATAAATATACACTATTATTCATGTACAAGTGTCTTGCCACTCCCCTCCCCTTTTTCTGGACCAACACAAGACAGTAACCCCTTGAGATCAAGAATTATTTCATAAATGCACACCTTGCTGAAGCAAAGGACTTATAATACACCTGAGATCTTGATATCAATATTGATAAATTAAGGAGTGATTTTACTATTTAAAGAAACTGTAAATAGCAGGGAATTACTGAGAAGCTCTTCAAGGTCATGATGATCTCTGTAATATGTTGTAGGGATGCACAAATATTGGGAACAGGAAGATGGTACCTTGGTTGAGCAAATGCTGGGTGGGGTTGGTGGAGGCATCTGAGGAGTCTGGGGAAGGCTCTCAGTTGACAGCGTGCTGGTTACTGAAGTTTCTGGAAGCTGACTCTGTTCCTGGGTTAGCTGCATCTTAGATTCTTCAGTTTTTGTGGTTTTGTTTTCCTTTTTCTGAAAGTAGTTTTTTTCTGATTAATAGTTTTAATATTAGATGAAACACATCTTCACCACTGAAAACATCAACTTTTTATTACTAGGTTCTAATATACTAAAATTTATGTCTTTGAGAACTCCAGGGAGCTTCATACAGTCCATCTTCGGAAGAGATGACCAGAAGCTAAGCAGTGCAAATATTATGATTGCTTCAAACAAATCGTAGACAAAATTTTATGCACGTCACTCTTTTACTCATTGTTGTGGTGATGACAGGAGCAGTGAACTTGGATTTAGAAAATCCAAGCTTGAATTTAATCTCTTTGATTAGCCTTTGGCAAGCTGTTTCCCTAATCTGATTGCCATTTTAGTTCATATCTAAAAGAGGAGCAATGATTTCATATTCTCATTATAGGGAATTACATTACACACATTAAAGTGCACAATACTTGTGAAACTTAATGGGTGATCAGTAACTATTAATTTGCTGATTCTTAACCTCATTTTTACTCTGCCCCTGGAATACCTTTGGTCTGATTCTCCTATTTGCATGTTGAGAAATGAATAAAGAACTAGGTGTTTATAGGAAGGTAATAAATGGAAGGTCCATAGAAGAAGCTTCTTTAGCGGGACCTTAGCCATCCTACCTTCAACACAGGCGTCTTGATTGTTTCAGGTTTATTCATGGTGGAAGTAGATTCCTCTGTACTGTGTTTATCCTGGTTTCTTTGTTCCACTGGTTTTGTCCCTTTTTCTTTCCATCGCCTCATAACTGGTGTGGTAAAAGAGAAAATAGTAAATCCAAAGGAGCTGGTCTAAGACAGCTGAAGCCCTTTCAATAATATTTCCTCCCAGATCCTGTGTGTGGGTCTATGTATGCCCTTGTCTGCCTCTACTGCTTTAGCCAGGCTGGCCACAGGTAGCCAGCAGAGGTAAGGGAGGCACAAGCACTGTTTCTTGCTTCCTCAGTCGATTATTTTCTTCTCCCATGTGCAATGAGCACTTCCTTCCTGTGCTCTGGACTCCAATATAACTCAGTCAAACCATTTTCCTATCACTTATCCTACACTTTCCCTTTTAGAATCAGTTATCATGCTGCTGGTTGTCAGTCATCTTCTGTAAAAGATGTGTTCGAATTACTGAAACCAAAGGAAGAAAATATGATGTAATTAGTGTTGTGACAAATTGGTGATACTGAACTTGGGCTTTTTATTTATTTATTTAATTTATTTATTAGCCCTATTAGGAAGATTAGCCCTGAGCCAACTACTGCCAGTCCTCCTGTTTTTGCTGAGGAAACCTGGCCCTCAGCTAACATCCGTGCCCATCCTCCTCTACTTTATACGTGGGATGCCTACCACAGCATGGCGTGTCAAGCGGTGCTATGTCTGCACCCGGGATCCAAAGCGGCGAACCCCAGGCTGCCGACAAGTGGAACATGAGCACTTAACCGCTGCGCCAGCGGCCCGCCCCAAATTTGGACTTTTTAAAATGTGTTGTTATAATCCAGTGATTTTATAAGAGACAAGTTCTTCACATCTCTGAGAGAAAGGTTTTTATTTAAGTACTGCCTCATGTTTGTTACGAGACAACATAACAATGGTGGAGTAAATATTGTAATAGAGCATGTACAGTAATTGATATAAATATTTTTAAAACTCAGACTTTAAAAAATTTTGTTTTGTCATTTTGTAACCTTTCTAATGCACTGAAAGCCTTGGTCTTCTCATAAACTCCTTCTTTTTCTTTACCCTCACCCCTCAAAATATACCCTCTAAAATGCATTAGATCCATTTGTAGGAAAGGGGACACCCTAAGTTATCATTTTGGCCCCTGCAGTACTAACATTGTCATGGCTACTAAGTCCTAAATTGGGAAAGGGATGTGTCAACTATGACAAGTCAGGGTTTTCTAGTCAAGGTTGAGGATGGTGCGGAGAGAGTGAGAGTGAAGAATTCTCACCCATTACCTTTTAACTTTTCATGTTTAAGAGTCTTTGCAAGGTCTTTAAGTTCTGCTATGTCTTTGTACAAATCTATTAGTGCGTCAACACAGGCACCCTCTGGAAAGCTTTCTTCCATCAAATCAGCAATCTGAATTCTATTATATTCATTTTGAGCTTTTTCAGTCAGTTTTAAATCTTTGGCGAATAAAGACTTAACGATGCTAAAATGATATTCACTGATGGGCTCTAATCCTTTCAGCAGAAGGATTTTCTTGAATTCCCTCTTCATCTCTGAAGTTATAGATGACCTACAAGAGAAAAATAACATACAGTGTTATATATTTATACAGACATTTTAAAAGACTATCAATGTTTATACAAGGAAGTGGTCCATATGAAGTGTCATCCATGGGTGTGTACGACAAGAGGGAGTTAATGACCAGATGTCATCATGGAAATGGGTTGAGAACTGCTGAATTAGGACTTCTAAGAAATTTTTCCCTTTTAATGATGACAGTTGAGTTGTTTGGAGTAGTATGGTAGAAGAAGGTCTTGAAATAGGCCATTGTTGCAATGTGTCGACTGTCGACTGTGTAGTGTCAAAGCCCCTGGTTCCTCTTCTCATCCTATTTTGAAGTCTATCCCTGAATGTCTGCCTGTTGGTTCCTAACACTTCCCACACCCACTAAGCCTGAAGTGACCTGTGCGCAAAATGGGCTGCAGATTCTCACCTTATGTGAATATCTTTCTGCCACAGCACTACAGTTCCATGCTGGGTACCTGCCCTAGTCCACTTGGCTCTTCCCTGGTCAACTCTAACTAATATCATCTCTCCCTGGGGCTTGACCATGTTCTCTGTGTCCTCTGTACCCATATCACTGCCTCTTTCTTGGACTTCTACCTGCTCCCTAGTGCAGGATCATAGCATGTATTGACTGGAATGATTACTACAGTTGCTTGATTTTTGTCTTTCCACTCAACTTTTTTAATCAGTTCTTTTCATAGAGCCAGATATCTCTCTATACAGCCACAATTCTATCTCACTTAAAATTCTTTAATAATTCCCTGTTTTCTTACTGAGAAATGTCTTGCTCCATAATCTGCCTTGGAAGGCCTTGAATAATCTGCATCTTTTTATTTCTGTTACTTTTGTATTTCTTATGTCTTATGCTCCAAAATATATAGCACACTTTGCCTCTCATTTTTTATAACTTTGATAATTCCCTTCTTGCTGCCTAGAAAGCCTTTCCCACCTTTCTTCCTCTGACTACCTCCTTACAGCCTTCAATGCTCAACTGAGGCTTTGTCTTCTGAATGCTGAGTCCCCATTTTGGACTGAGTTTCACTCCTCTGGGCCTCTTAGCACTTTCCACACTTCCTTCATGGCACTCAGTGCATATTATGGGTCCCAATTTTCTGTTTAAATTCATGAATTCTTTCAGTTTAGGGACCATGTGTTTGATTACTTTTTGTATAATTGGGATTTTCAAATTCCTGTGAATTGCTCTTCTTGAGAGAACGTGAGTGTCCTAAGGTTGGTCCGGCCCATAGACTGAAGGATGAATCCACAAAAGGACACGTTATAGTGAGACATAAGAATATTATAAACGAAGTGAAAACTCTGAAAGCTTCTAGAAATAAAGAGCAGGTTACATGTAAAAACCCAAGGATCAAATTTAAACTAATTCTCAACAGCAAAACTCTCTAAGCAGGACAGCGGAATAATTTTTATATAGTACTGGTCCAAAATTCCATATCTATTTCAAAACTGAAAATTCTTTTACATAAAATTTTTTTGGATTTGTTGTGAGTGTGACGACACAATTTATTTGCAAAATAAAACAAGATGTGAGGTGCCAAGAAGCTATGCATAATCTTTATTCATTCTACTTAAATATGATCATTCATGCTTTCTTGCTGAAATATTAGTGCATTTGATTTTAGAGTAGTATCCAGATCCTACCAGGGCTTCTTGTCATGTAATAGTTTAAGGAGACGTATTAAAAGCCTTTCTGAAGCCCCCTGATTCTGAATCTCAGAACATACCTAGCCCAAGGAAACCAGAATAGATACTGTCACCCTATCTTGAGTGGAAAAATAATTTGGAAAGTAGAATTTTTAATCTAGCCAAAATGATATTTAAATATGAGGGCCTCAAAAACTATTCTCTGATATTCAAGGCCTCAGTAGTTCTGCAAGACAGAGACCCAGACAGAAACATCTATTGGAAGTAATATTCAATAAGAAAATAATACAAAATCAAGAAATACTGCAAGCCAAAGGTAAATAAGAGTGAAAACTTAACTTGGTTAGGTGAGCCCATGTCTTAAAAATAAACAAAGCCTGATGGAAAAGAAGAGAACAAGGAAGTACGTCAACATGGTGGAGGGAGGGAAGAAAAAGAACCTGGCAGTTCACCAGTGTATTTGTCCTAAAGGATACGATAGAGTATAAGTAAAAAAATATATAAGAAAGGAGAATATAGATGTTTCATAAATTGAAATGGAGATAACAGAAACAAGACAAAACACATTAATTGTCAGCATATACAAAAAAAAACCTAAGCAGTTAACCTACAATGTTAGGCAAATTGTATTTGAGAAATATGTCAATATATTGTTAACAACAGATCAGTTAAGGGTGGAAATACAAAAGAAAAATATTTTACCATTCAAAGAATAAGTAGAAGAAAATCAATTTATTTATATTAGTGCAGGTTTAAATAGAGGCGAACACAAAAAGTATCAGAGCATGACACAATCATAATAGGTTCAACCTCAAGGGAGATAAAACTCTTTTGATTGCGTATTTACCTACTAATCGTAAATATCTTTTGTTTTTATTACTTTATATTCCTTCATAATGCTATAAATAGTGTATACTCTATTTTACAACATAACATATGTTAAATACAAAATTATATTTGCAACAGTGTGTAGTATATTTCTTTTCATACACACATGCTCATTCACAAATATATTTTATATATGAATGCCTCTAAACATAAACACATACATATAAAATATAAATTATATATGTGTGTGTGCATATAAATAAGGATATTGATCCTAAATCCAATTTGGCTAAAGTTGTTGCTTAACTGGTTAGCATATACTCGTTATGTACCTGTTGATAATAAATGTGTTTTTGTCTTGTTTCTGCTATCTTCATTTCAATTTATGACCCTTCCATGTTCTCCTTAAGTATATATATAAATTTGAGAGATCTACAAGAAAAAACCCCACAAGGTTATGGAAGGAGATTTCAGTGTATCTCTCAATTACTAAATGAACAAGGTAAAAAAAAATCAGTAAGATGTAGATGATTTAATCAACACAATAGACTTAGTGAACAAGGTTTATGTAACATACATAAAATTCTGAACATTAAAAATTTCACTTTAGAGTCAAGCACACATGAAATACGATTATACCAAGCCATGCAGAAAGTCTTTAAACAATTCTAAATGTAGGTAATAGAAATCTATTTGTAATTAACTTTGCCTGCCTCTCCCCTATACCTTGCAAACAGGAAAAAAGAAAAAAAGAATAGTTTTCAGGAAGGCAGAAAGAAATCCTTAAAGAAACTTAAATAACGACTCTGACAGCTGATAGAGACTGGAGTACTAAATAAAAAGCAAACTGTCTTACAGAGACGTAAAGCAGCCATGTTTTTATTTAACTGTGTTTGTGGAACTGAAAATTTTTCTGCTTTCTGTGTGTGTGTGTTGTGGGGGGGGGGTGTAAAAAATTAAGATAATACCATACAATACAACTTTGTATGCAGATGGATTTTTTACTGAATATTATTTTATGATATATTTGCCATTCTCCTAACTTGATTTTACGCAGGCCCTGACCACAACCACCAACTTTCCTGGGCACATTCCAGGAGAAAAACCCCAAACCCTTTCTCTAAATATAGCTCATGTCAATAGATGCCCAGGAAATTCATTTTAATATCTTTTATAGTCAAAATGCTTATCCTTCAGTTATGGTGGAATAAAATGTCTATTATTTGCCTAGTTAGGAAAGGACTAGAATCAAGCTACTGCTGTTTTCACTTTTCTGAATATAGTTTAAATTAGCCCTTTTCCCACAAATTCTTCATAATGTAAGCTCCCCTTGTAATCTTTTGGTTACCAACCAGATACTCACATCTTCCTATGGAAATCCCCACAGATATCACCTCATTGGAAATTTCTTCCACAGCAGTCCAGATTTTGAGGTCTTTTTCAGAGATGCAGAAATCACTTCTTATTTTGTTTGAGCAGGAAGATAAATCAGTAAACTCTCAGAGACTGAACTGCAGGATGTTATAATCTCCTCAAGGGCAGAAGAAAAAGAAGTATTTTGAAAAGCAACAAAAACAAATGGCACTGGTAGAGTCACTTGAAACCTTGACTAGTGCTGGCCATCTCATACTGTGCTATCCCGGAGAAAGAGAAGTTATGAAACAATGTTGAGACTCCTCCCACCTATGTTCTTAGCTTTCGATTCATTAGTCAGAGAAAATCACCAGTTTCCTTCCTGTAAATTTTGTTGGGGCCCAGGGCAAGCCACTCCCAAATATTCCACAACAGCATATTGATTATTTTGGATTAAAATTCCTTGAGAAGGATAAAGGGCATTCTGACTCTCCTGTCTCTGTTCTCCCTGAAGGCAGGAAATGAATCTCTCACGTGCAAGGTGCTCTCTTTTCATCCTTATCACCAGAGCTGGGGAAGTCAGGTCAGAGAAACTGCCTAAATAAACCTGGCTAGTTGACAACCTCAATCCTAAACTCTGCTTAAATCTCTCACTAATTATGAGTCTCAAATTTATGTTTCTTTGTCCTGTCATTCCTCACGAATTTCTTGTTTCTTTGTGAAAAAGATGTATATATTGTTTGCTTTGTTCTCTCCAATCATCATTTCTCTATGATCTCTAATACATATGAATTGAAGTGTTTTTCTATCCTTTTAATCTGGTTTTGTGTCAATTTTATCATTAGTCCTGCCATAAGAACACAAGAATGGTAGAAAGGGAATTTTCCCCCACCCTGACAACATCTTAATCAAGATGAAAATTCTGGCAAAGTTATACTTAAATTTTCTGTTGCTGTTGTTATAAATGTCAGTAGATGAAAGAAGTTCCAACATTAGAACTTTGTATCCAGCAGACTTACATGTGGGACATTAGACTTATATCCCTTGAATGATGCTCAAATAAAGGAGAAGTAAGGTGAGTCATCTGGCCACTTATCCCTCCTTTCCTCTTCTTAGAGTGGCAGTGGCAGAAGATCTTAGAAAAGGCATCTATCTCTACTAGTACTTTACTGCTCCTCCTGGATGGAAGTGAGTCAGCTATAAAATTTCTATTAGCTTAAATAGTATCTGAAGCATTCACCTGTTATGGATTGACACACCTGGAGCTTGACAGAAGTATAAGGTCATTACAAATTTGTAAATCCTTTCTCAAATATATAAAAGGAATATGGCACTAGTAGTCCTCTTGACCAGGCTACTTTACCTCACTGATTAAATTCATGGTTAATCACACTCCCTGCGTTATTCATGGATAAACACATGTGAGTAATGTGTTCATGTCATGACAGCATTGAGCGTTGCAAATTTTGGAAGAACACTGAATCTCTGGAATGAGAGGTAACTGACAAACCTTTTCTTCTGCAGTGGTTTTTTTTTAGTGTGTGTGTATGTGAAGGACAGTGGATGCACCAGTGTACCGTAAGCCCCGAGATGTCAAATAGATGGCACCAATCAGCAGACATTACAGTGGTAACCACCAACTGATCTGCAAGTAGGGTGAGGCCATGACTGGAAAAGGATTCCCCAAAACAGCTAATGTAGGTTATCTCTTCATCTAAAGAGAAGAAAGGCGATTATTTTTGTCCACAATAGAGTCATGGAGGGGATAATTGAAGTCTGGATTTGCAACTGTCTGAAAAACTCCATCAAAGCAGGAATAAGTCAGGAAAAAGCAAGGAGTATCTGGAGTGATGACCACAAACACCTTTGGGTGCTCATTGTTTTCTTTCACAGGCTTTAGTTTGCTGCTTATGTGGATGCTTGGAGCTGGTCTTAAGGTAATGGGTAGAGAGGAACATTAAGAAAGTCAGAGAGAGCCCCATTCTAGAGATCACAGAGTAAAAGGTAGATGGGAAAAATGACCATAATTCAGTACATTTTTTTCTGTCACTTTTCTTGTAATCAATTCAGGTGGAACAATGACCTCAGTTGAGACTCCACCATACAACACAGTTCATTGTCGTCAAAAAAGACAATTCAGAACAATGTTCCATAATTCATACTGTTCAGCTGAGATTTTAACAGATGAAGAAAAGGAACACTAAAAAACACGCATTTTTCCTGACTCATAGGCAGTGGCCAAACAGTTGGCAATTTGCGTCATTGCACAGAAAGCTCACTGGTAGGACATACAAGAACTCTGGATACAGGGGAAAATGTCTGGATAAAGTTGCATGACCTTTTATCATCTGACGTATTAATTCACATGGTCATTAAAAATCCCCAAGAAAAGTCCCTGCCAGATTGGTGTTCTAACCAAGATGTTGGCAAATTATAGCCTGTGGGCCAAAACTAACACACCATCTGTTTTTGTAAAAAAAAGTTTTTTTGGCACACAAATATGCTTATTCATTTACGCATTGTCTACGTCTGCCTTCATGATGCAACCATAGAGCTGATTAGCCATAGGACAGTTGATCTTCAGGCTCGAGGGTCTAAAGATTTTACTATATGGCTCTTTACAGACAAGTTTGTCAACCTGTGCCCTAAGCCGTCAGTCTAGGTGAAAGCAGAGGGTATCTAAGGAGGAAAGCAAGAGTGAGTAAAAGAGCAATCACACCACAGAACCACAGTTAGTCTTATTCAAGTCCATATTAGGTCCTTGGAAAAAGGCTTAATGATATGGTTTGTGGTCTCGGAGGAAGAAGTTGAAAGGGAATTGTATTCCTCAAAGGTTGTATCTTGAAGCCCTAACCATTTGTTACTATATTTGGAGACAGATCTTTAAGGAGGTAATTAAGTTAAAATGAGGTCATAAGGGTGGCATGGTAATCCAATGTGAGTGGTGTGCTTTTAAAAGAGGAGACTTGGGCACACAAAGAGATAGCAGGGACGTACACACGTAGATGAAAATCATGTGAAGGAACAGCAAGAAAGTGGACATCTTCAAGCTCAGCAGAGGAGCCTCAGGAGTAAGCAAACCTTCTGAAACTTTGGTCTTGAGCTTTCAGCCTCCAGAACTGTGAGACAAGAAGTTTCTTTTTTTTAAGACACCTAGTCTATGGTATTTTGTTATGGCAGCCTGAGCAGACTAAAACAGGGAGCATGGTAAAATCCTTCTCAAACTGCCTATTCCTAAGGGCCAGAATAAAAGGTACTAGTGTGGGAGACTCAACAAGCTGGCTAAATTGCTTTATGAATTCACGGAATCATCAGCCACCTGAACAATATGCTTTCTCGGAGAAAAAGATTTCTCTTTCAGAGGAGATGGCAAGGGTGATTGAGTTTTAAATGTTGAATCAATCTTGTACCCTGGGATAAAACACACTATTTCATGATGCACTATCATTTATTACATATTAATATGTCGAATTTTTAAATATTTTAAAAGTATTTTTACATTTATTTTCATAAGAGACATTGGCATTTATTTTGCTTTTTCAGTGATCTTTATCCGATTTTGGTATAACAATAATATTGGCATTTCTAAAAGAATGTATTTAAGATTATTAATATCACCTCCTTAGTTGTTTGATAGAATTCATCATGTCTATTCCCAGAGCTTTTATGGTGGAAAGATTTTGGTTATGAATTGATTTCTCTCATACATATAAGGATATACAGACGTTCTATTTCTTTAGGGGACAGTTTTTGTAAGTTGCAATTATAGGAATTTTATCCATTGGGTCTAAGTAACCAAACTTACTGGCATAAAGTTGTTTATAATATTCTTTTATTATCCTTTAAATGTCTGTATTATTCTTTAAATGCCATAGTGTCACAACTTTACATTCCTGATATTGGTCATTTTATAGTGTCTATTCTTCTCAATTAGTCTTGCAGGACAGATTGTCTTTGAGGAAGACTGCTGAGGGAAGCCCAAAGAGAAGAAGGGAGACAGAGAGGAAACCACAGGAATTGGAACCTCTTGCATTGACAGCTAGAGCGAATATTAAACACAGTCCAACACTGAGCCACATTAACATACAATCTCCTATTAAAGGTGTATTTACTTCAACTGCTATCACCTCATAAAACATGTCCAGCTTTTAACAAAAAGGGACAAGAAGTGTCAAAACATAAGGAAAAAACAGAGTCTAAATAGACAAAATAGACATCAGAACCAGATTCAGATATGACACAGATGTGGAAATTATCAGACAGGGTATCTAAAATAACTATGACTAATATGTCAAGGGCTGGTATCAGCTTGCTAGGGAAGCCATGACAAAATTCCACACACTGGATGATTTAAATAGCATACATTCATTTTCTTTCAGTTTTGAAGGCTTGAAGTTCAAGATCAAGTTTGGCAGGTTTGCTTTCTACTGAGCTTCTCTCCTTGGCTTGCATATGGCCACCTTCCTGCTGCCTCCTCACATAGTCATCCCTTTGTGCACAATCACTCCTGATGCCTCTCTCTGTGTGTCCAAATTTCCTCTACCTATAAGGAAATCAGTCAGATTGGATTAGGGCCTACCTATGTGACCTCACTTAATCTTAATTATCTCTTTAAAGGCTCTGTCATCAAATACAGGCACATTCTAAATACTTCCTGTTAGGGCTTCAGCATATGAATTTTGAGAGGACAAATTTAGTCCACAGCAGGACTCTAATAGAAAAAGCAAACAGCATAGAGCAGAAATGGATAAAATAAGCAGACAGATGGAAATACTAAGAAAAAATCAAAGGGAAATTCAACAAATAAAAAATACTGTAACTGAAAAGATGACTATTCAGTAGGCTGGATACAACTAATGAAGGAATAAGAGAGCTTGAAGTTGGGTCAATGGGAACTTCCTAAATTGACATGAAAACTGAAAAAAAGAACTAAAAAGCAAAACATCCAATATCTGTGCCATTGTATCATTAGATGCAGCATGTGCATAATTGCAAAGCCAGAAGGTAAAGAAAGAGATACTGGAGCAGAAAAAATATTTGAATGAATAATAGCCAAGAAATTTCCAAAATTAATGACAGACACAGAATCACAGATACAGGAAGCTCAAATAACATCAAGCATCATAACTACCAAAAATATTTACACCTAGGCATATCATATTCAAATTCTAGAAAACAAAAGACCAAGAGAAAAATCTCAAAAGAAGCCAGAGGTAAAAAAAACCACCTCACCTATAGAGGAGCAAAGATAAGAATACTGTGGACTTGTTAGACATCTTGCAAGCAAGAAGAGGTTGAAGTAAAACATTTA